GAACGGAATCGAGTGGCCTCATCTGAGGGAAATTCCGCTGGCCGATCCAGAATTCATGGCCAATGATCCAATTGAGCTGCTCTTTGCAGCAGAAGTGTGCTCCTTCATTCTTCAGGAAGGCCTTCGAAAGGGGGGCCCCCGAGCTCCCGTTGCACAAAATACGCTTCTTGGATTCAGTGTACCGCCGACGACGAGCTGGCCAAGCTTGTGCAACTCTTTTGGGAGCAAGAGCGAGAAGTACCCGCCCCCGTAGCTCTCACTCCCATTGAGCAGCGATGCAAGGACATCTTTGTTCGCCCTCATCAACGAACGGCTGATGGCAGATACGTAGTGCGACTGCCGTTTGCCTCACGGCCGACGACTCTCCTCGAGACTCGCAAATCCGCCGAGCACTTCTTGACAGCCATGGAACGGCGCTGTGACCGCGATCCTCGGTTTGGAGAACTTTACCACGCCTTTCTACGAGAATACGAGGAGTTGGATCACATGGAGTTGGTTCAGGACTCGCAACACTTCAATGCCCAACGATGCTACCTACCTCATCATGGGGTGCTTAGAGAGTCAAATACCTCAACCAAGCTGAGAGTAGTCTTCAATGGGTCGCAGCGCACAAGGTCGGGTGAGTCACTCAATTCGCAGCTGTTAACAGGCGTCAATCTACTGCCATCCCTCGCGGACGTGCTCACGCGCTGGCGGTGGCATCGCTACGCGCTCGTGACGGACATCGAGAAAATGTATCGTCAAATTCGCGTTCTTCCAGAAGACCAGAACTATCAGCGCATCCTCTGGCGGCACAGTGTAGCTGATCCTGTTCGAGAATACAAGCTGAAGACTGTCACATATGGCCTGGCATGCGCTCCATTTCTCGCTATTCGCACGCTTCGTCAACTCGCCGACGACGAAGAGTCTCACTTTCCGCAGGCTTCCGCCGTCTTGCGACGCGACTGCTACGTCGACGATATCGTAACGGGAACGCACAACAAGTTGGAGGTAATCGCGCTGCAATCCGAACTCCGCCGACTCTGCATGGCGGGCGGGTTTCCACTGCGCAAATGGGCTGCGAGTTGTCGCGATCTTCTTAGCGGAATTCCACCAGAGCACTGCCTTAACAAAGATTCGCTTTCATGGGAGCACGACAGTCATGCGACGCTGGAATTGCGGTGGTATCCCGCCAAAGATGAGTTTGCTTTCATCATCCGGCTCAATACAATCGCCATGTACACGAAAAGACGCGTACTCGCGGAAACGGCTCGACTCTTCGATCCGCTCGGATGGCTGACTCCGGTTGTGATTCAGGCAAAAATTCTAATTCAATCTGCCTGGTTACAGCAAATAGAGTGGGACGCACCACTTTCACAGACAGACGCGCAGCAGTGGCAGCGTCTCTTCGAAGAACTTCCGTGTCTTGAGCAAGTCCGCGTTGGCCGCTGGCTGGGAAGCGGCGACTCAAATTCGAACATGGAACTCCACGGCTTTGCCGATGCATCCGAGCGAGGATATGCCGCCGTGGTTTACCTCCGTATCAGCACCGCCGGTGACGTCGCAATCCGCCTGCTTGGAGCTAAAAGTAAGGTTGCGCCAATCAAACCTGTCTCGCTTCCTCGGTTGGAGCTCAGCGCTGCCGCGCTTTTATCGAGTCTCGTCACTCACATACGCAATGTGTTAAGCTTGTCCACAGCACCTGTCACGCTATGGTCTGACTCCAGGGTCGCACTTTGTTGGATTCAGGGTCATGCCTCTCGATGGAAGACGTACGTGGCTAACCGGGTATCTCAAATACAGCAGCAGCTTCCTGAGGCACGATGGCGCCACGTCCCGGGGAAGGATAATCCAGCCGACTGCGCCTCTCGAGGCATTACGCCAACCGACCTCATCAGCCACCCTCTATGGTGGACGGGTCCCTCCTGGCTCGGTTGAGGCGCTGAGAAATGGCCTGGCGAGGTCGTGGAGGTCTCTGTCGAGGACGTGCCTGAGCAGAGAGCAACGACACACAGCGTCCGGAGAGTTCTCGAGCCTGAGCTTCTTCTCAGATTCTCGTCGCTGAATCGACTCTTGAGGGTCACCGCCTGGTGTCTTCGCTGGCGCCGCCATAGGAGTGGATTCATCAGCGTGGACTACCATCAATCCACTTTACACCCCGACGAAGTGGAGGAAGCACTTCTGCATTGGATCCGCACAGTGCAGACGCTGCACTACCTTGAGGAGGTCACCGCCGCCAGGAACAATCGCAACTCTTCAAGGCAAAGTCATTTGAAAGCGCTTGACCCCTATGCAGATGACCGCGGAACGCTAAGGGTTGGAGGACGTCTCAAGCACGCCGCGCTTTCCTTCGACGAGCGACATCCACTCATTGTGCCTCCAACGTCATGGCTCACTCGACTGTTGGTGGAAGCCTACCATCGCCGCACGCTTCACGGGGGCGTTCAATTGACCTTGGGGATGCTTCGACTCCGCTTCTGGATTCCTCAAGGTCGAGCCGTGGTCAAACGATGGCTGCATCAATGTGCAACTTGCGCGCGGTGGAGGGCGGTTACATTGCAGCCTCCAATGGGAAATTTGCCTCTAGGAAGAATAACTCCAGCGCGCCCGTTTCTTCAAGTTGGCATCGATTACGCGGGGCCTGTTTTCATTAGGACAACTAAAGGGCGTGGTCACAAAGCGCACAAGGCATTCAGTGCAATCTTTGTGTGTTTCTGCTCCAAGGCGGTTCACATCGAAGTAGTCTCAGACTACACGGCTGAAGCCTTCCTGGCTGCACTTCGCCGTTTTTCATCGCGCCGAATGTCTCTGCTCCGATATTTACTCAGATTGTGGCACAAATTTTTCAGGAGCAGACAGACAGCTGAGACAACTTCTTCGGGCCTCCTCGTCAGATGGACGTTGCATCGCTCACTCCGCCGCCGCGGACGGAATTCGGTGGCATTTTAACCCACCTTCCGCGCCTCATTTCGGAGGCCTCTGGGAGGCGGCCGTGAAATCCACGAAGTACCATTTGCGAAGAGTCATAGGCGATTCTAGGCTAACCTTCGAGGAGATGAGTACACTTCTCGCTCAAGTGGAAGCGTTCCTAAATTCCCGGCCTATGTACGCACTCTCTGACGACCCGGAGGACATTAACGCCCTGACACCGGGACATCTACTCATCGGTGCACCGCTGCTGGCAATCCCCGAGCCCTCATTGACAGAAAGGAAGGACAGCTCACTGACAAGGTGGAAACTTATTCAAAAAATGCGTGACCACTTCTGGTAGAGATGGTCCCGTGAGTACCTTCACACCCTGGCTGCCAGACCGAAGTGGACCAAAGGAGTGGCACCACCGCAAATCGGATCGCTGTATCTCATCCGCTCCGAGATCACCCCTCCAAACAAGTGGCCCTTGGCACGGATCACTCAGGATACTCATATACCAAAAACATAGAGAATGGACTGCGCGATCCCGTATCTATGTAGTATCAAAATGTGTCGACGAAAATGAGAGAGAGGGTAGGTGGAAGACGGCCATCTCTATCTTCTTCCATTCCATGGTGTAATGGAAGAGAGAATGAGAGGGAGATGGCCGTCTTCCACGGTCCCTCTCTTTCATTTTTGTTGACCATTTTGACACACGGATCGCGCAGTTCATTCTCTATGTCTTTGTCATATACGCACTACTACACACGTACCTCGCCATCTTGTTGTTCCCATCACAGCCGAAACCGGAGATCCGGCCGGCCTCAGCTCTTTCGGCTGTGTTAGCGATCTAGTATAGTATAGACACCTGTGTACAGCGACAAATCGTTGATAGCAAATACACGGCAAGTTGGCAGCAACACATGTTGAATTCACGTGATGTCATACTACAGGCAGAGAGAAACCTGAGAGAGGCCATGACGGCCTTTTTCGCGTGACAGGCGAAGCCGCCGTACGCTAGCGGCACCAACATCATTTTTATAAAATGATGTGAACTACGTAACACATTTTCGACACTGTCGATAAAATCGTAGTGTCGATATATGGATTTGGTGCTAAAGCCACAAATATAATACTAATTTATAAAAAAATACTTTTTTCAATCGGATAAGGCGTTTTTTATGGATTTTTGGATGCTGAAAACGATGCGGCAAGTTAAATTTTATTAGCACGTCAGGTGCTTTTTTTCGGTTACCGAAATAATTGAGGTTTAATGTGCAAAAATGGTTCTTTTTGTGATTTTAAATGTTTTTGTCAAAATTAATGTTATCTTGAAATTATAAGAAGTCGTATGCATAATAATTGTTCATCCCCTACTGTATTTTTTCAATATACTTACTTTTTAGTCACCGTTATAATAAAAGGATCAAATACAGAATTTTTTCCAATATAGTAAATTTTCCGCCTTTGTCAATGAGAAATCGTTATATTTATAATTTCTAATTTCTCACTTTCGATACACAGTGTGATTTATCGTTATAAATTCCGCTAAATATATTTTACACACACACACACACACACACACACACACATACTCGGAAAAAATATTTTATATATAATTTAAATTTTTATATAATTATATAAAATTATATATGTAATAATGTATATAGTTACATATAATTAGATAGAATTATATATAAAATATGTCTAGATATATACAATTTTATATATAATATAATTTTATATAAAATTTTATATAAAACATTTTTTCCCGAATATATCCACGTAGCACACCAGCGTGTAAAGCGCTCACTCTTCTTTTACTGCACATGAAAAGTGCAGTAAATGTGCTATAAAACTGTATTTATTTTGCCCTGATTATATGCGCTTATAATGCGCTTTTCATAGTGGATTTTGAAAGCGCTTTTAAAGCGCATTAGCGCTTTAAAAACGCTAAAAAGTTGCTAAAGTAATGCGACTGCATACGCGTTTTTTTAGCGCTTTTTAAGCGCTAGTGAGCTACGTGGGTATAATATATAACAAGAGAAGACTTGAAGTTCGCGCTAAGCAAGTTCGAGGATGTATTGTACATACGTCTGTAAGCGAGAGTTTTACGTTAATGCAAAGTTCAAGTCTTCTCTTTTCTGGATAGAAGCTATTAGGAAATTCGCATTTTGTAACAAAGACAGAATCATTTGTAGTGCCAAATATTATATTAACTGTCATTATTTAAGTCCTTTACACGATACGAGCATGATATGATGTATATTTTAACTTATAAAAGCATAGAATTTCATCAATTTCAGTCACTTTTATCTGAGATTGTATAGCCAGAACATCCTTAAAGAAAATAACCATTCAAAGATTTAAAACTTACTCTCTTCACTGTTGTCTGTCGACTGAATATCACTGTTGTTTGTCGACAGTGTCGACTGAATATCACTGTTTATATCATAGGCTTCTGACATTAAATCAGACTGTGTATTACATATATTTAAGTCCTCCGACACTTCCTCATTTTGATCAATAATAGTTTTATCCTTAATGGTTGCATTTAAAAGAGTAGTAGCAAAGATAATATCTACACAAAATTAGAAAAACTGATTATCATAAATTAAATTACATAAAAGTATAACAATAAAAACTATAGCAATAAAATATATAATTATTAAAATACAAAATCTTGTAATTATTAAGCCTTCTCTATTACTTTAACCTTTCTCTACTCTTGGGTTAAATTCGACAAGTTCAGTTTTCTAGTGCTTCTGCATATGCGCGGGTGAAACATCGTCCTGTGTTTTCATAGATCTTGAAAGGACTTTGAAAAGATCTACGAAAAGGTACTGTAGGATGTGTTTTATCCGTGAGAAGCATGATTAGAGAATAGAACTTGTCGGATCTAATCCAAAAATACAATAAAGAAGAATTAATTATGAATAAACTTTCTTTAAAGCAATAATTAATTTGAGTATAATCGTAACATTTTTTGCTATCGTAACAATCGTTTAATTAATAATTATTTATCTTACCTGTAGTAGTACGGTGTGCATCTTCAGGAGATAACATTAAACCATATACTTTATTATTATCCTTATCATACAATGAAATCTTTTCCATTTTAACCTAGATTACAATTTTCTATGAGACAATAACCAATTTAAGCAAACCGTATTTACGACTAAAACCCCTAACCTTACATCCTAGGTACGTCGCGCGAAATTATCAAACAATGCATTGTGGGTTAAACCACAGTATATACAGTAGCGCAACTCTCTGTCGGCACCTTTGATGTTAGTCAAGCCTAAAATGGAGTGCGCATGCGCGGCCGAGGCGCGTAACCAATCAGGGCACTGTATTCTATCTCACTTCTGCTCTCTGTTTATAACCTTTTCTCTCTTTCTAATTTATGTTCTAGCAATGTCCTAACCTAATTTGCACATTTGAACATTTAATACGCGTACTAACAAGTAACTTTTATAAAATTATCTTAATTTATTCCATTATTCACAGCGAATACAGAAATCTATAGTTCTCGTTTACACTATATAGATACTTAATACTCACAGTGAAAAACGAGACGCATTTGAAAGAGAAAATAAAATAAAAATTAAACATATATAATGCACATTTATTTTATAACACTATATTTTGCAATTAAATATACCCACAAAATATATTATTATTAACTAATTGTACAGCAATATTGTATGTATAGCATATATCTTGTGTATACAATATAATATATACGCAATTAGAACAGAAAGTCACAATAAAGTCAAAATGACATTAGAATGATTGAAAAATGACTTTTAATGATCATTTTGGAACAATTTTAACATCATTTTGATACAATGATGACTTGTTTTGTTTGGATATATAATTAATGTGGTATTTCATATTTTGAAATATCATATGGCTCGAATAAAATTACTTATATTTATTATATTTTTTTCATATTGAATATAGTAACCGCAGATATTAGGAAATGCAAGAATATTCTCTCTCTCTCTCTCTCTCTCTCTCTCTCTCTCTCTCTCTCTCTCTCTCTCTCTCTCTCATAATTTTGTTGGTACTGCATCCGGATGAAGAATAGCTCTACTCTTGCTTATATTGTACCACTTTTCTTCAAAATGTAAGTGGCACAATCTATAAATGCGATGGGCATATTCTGCTCCACTTGCTTCTAAGAGTGCGTTCCGAGTCGCGCATGAAGCGCGTGGACTGCAATACTAATGCACAACACTTTGAAATTGTTCCGTTTTTTCAATGCGCGCATAACACGCATGAAGCGCTTATGAATTCGGACCGGTTTCCTGTGCGAGCTATGCGAGTTCAAGATGGACGCTATACAAGACGTCAATAAACAATTTCTAATAATTGTAATTTCTTCTTTAATACTTTTAAAGAAAAATGATGAAAGTTCCGATGACAGTTCCGACTCGAGCGATAGTGAAAATAAAGTCGAAGGCATATCTCTAAGTGATACGCAGAAAATATTTTTTCTATTAATAGTAGATAAATCACGTGGAAAACAAATTGGAGTTGAAAAAATTATTGATTACGTCGATCGCGTAATTCCTAATTAATATAACGTCTAATCTATACATTAAATAAATCAAGGTAAAATAATATGCCATTAATTTTGATGAAAGTATTCAACATAAATTAAAAGG